TATATAATCGCCTATCGAGATTGTTCATCGGAAATCATTAAACGAAAAGACAAAATGCAATCGATCACAAACACATTGCGCGGATTGAAAGAATGAAGGCAGTAAAATATCACGCTAATAAGAGCGATCGATAAGCTATAAGGGAATTGTGGAAACTTTTGGCGAAGGTATAACAGAAACATTTATTCATGTTTCTTCTTCTTTATGTCGGTCGTTCTGTCAACACAAACAACTATAAAGGAAATTAAGACTTATACTATTGATATACTAGTGATATATTTTAATGCACACGTTTTTCCTTACACGCTACTGTATTTTTTCTGCAATGCAAAAAAAAAATGATAAGGCCTCAACTTCGCTGATCGTAATTAAATTGAAGAGCCCAATTTTTAATTGGTGTAATATGCTTCATTAGCAGTTCTTAAAGAAAAAAAGAATTATTTTAATATTGTTTAGTGTGGTTTACATAGTAAGAAAAAAATGTATTGTACATGTAATATTTAATGATAAAATTCGTCAATCATATATCACTTATATATTTATAGTTATTTAAACAATATTATTTAAATAATAAAAATATATTTAGAATTTAGAATACAGTGCATTTATACGCTACAGCACGGAAATTCTGCATTTTTATTACGTATTACTTTTTATATATGTATAAATTTGTTGGCACATTGTTGACGATATTGGAGATCTATAAGATTCGGATGTAAATATATATAAAAAATAAAACTATTTTATATTTAATATGAAACACATTTAGAATTGTTCTGTTTTAGCGTATGTTAAATTATAATATTTTACCGAATTTCATATAAGCAAAATATTGAATACTGATCAAATAAAAATAAACAGATTCCTGTAAATGGCACTAACAAAAAAATATTTATTATAATAAAAAAAAATTGATAGTACTTTCATTAGTGTAATAATGTAACGATATTAATTTTATATTAGTTTTCAAAATTACAATCATACTTTTTAATATTTTTTAACATTTTAAATATTTTTTTCATATATATAGTAAATATATATGGTAAATTGACTATATATATAAATATAAAACACAATAACGAGAAAAGTAAAGAAATTTCAATATTTTACACGCGCAGTGTATATATAATACATTTTGAGACTGTTAAGCTTTTTTTTGTATGCTATATTATTGTTGTAAAATTAGTAGAGTACATTGGACTAGTTTACGAAAATATATCACGTCTCTCTATAGGCTATAATAATTATCACGAAAGATTATCAGTCTTAATCACATATAGCAAATTTTTTTTTTCTAAAAATTAAATGCCACACATTGAGCCTTAATTTTCACGTCAATAATATATTGTTGTAATTGGTCAATTTAATTGTTAGTGAAGCCTCAAAATCATGAAAGAATACATTTGTATAATATATTAATATACTTTTGAAATATATTATATGTATGTATATCAATTTGGATAGCAATTTAATGATATACAGAAGCAATATTAAATTTGATATCAAGTCATAAGCAGAATAGATTTCAAAATTTGATAAATAAAAATCAGAAAAATTATTAAGGATTTATGAACGGAGTTTAAGATAATTTGAGAAGAGATGGAGGAGAATATTGTAATAGAGTGGGAGAATATTGTTTCCTCACTTGATTTCTGCGAAAAGCCTGAGGATTTGGGGCGTATCCTATTGTTCCTTGCATTTTCATTGTGCGCAAGATTTCAGGATCTATTGGTGGAGTTCTCCTGTGAAAAAATGAAAATCAAGTTATCTGTTTCTCACTTATACAAAAACGGAAACATACAGAAGACCTACCTATAAACTTTTTTCAAGTATTCTTCAGGCCAATCACATAGAAGTGGTTGATCTGAATATACCATTGGTATTGTACTGTACGGCGTAACATCGTCATCAAAAGGAATCGATGGTATTGTCTCAATTGGATCGGCAAACTCCGTAGGCCTAAGCAAAATAAAAACACATATATCTAGATTTTATTCTTTATTATCTTACCGTTTATCATTTCCTAACTGTTCTTGATTTTATATATGTAATATAAATTATTTGTGTGTGTGTGTGTGTGTGTGTGTTGTTATTAGATTTTAGTATATTGTGTCGATTTAATATACTGAGTAAATTTTAATATACTGAGTAAATTTTAATATTTAATAAAATAATTTTAATAATTTATGTCAATAATTATTTCAGTATATAAAAATTATATAATTCGTATTAATTTTAAAATTGATTAAAATAATTACTGACCTAGAAAATGTATTAAATTGAGGTTCCGGGGTGTTGGTGGACATTAAATGTATAGAGCCCGCCAAATCTCCAAAGCAAAGACATTGAGATGTAGGAGCTACATCAAATGATAATATCGTCGCACCGCCAGTAGCAACCTAATAATCGACATAATTTTGTATAATCTTTGTATGTATATCTATTTTAAACATATTTACCTTAAATTTTTTGCTCATTGTGAACACGCGTAAACTTACCTGATATAAACACGTCACTGAAGGTTGTACATTAGCATATATTGTATCAAGTAGTTGCATTTGTCCTAGTGGCGATACCACTGCGAGTCGACTGGAATAACTTGGTAGGAACTTCAATAAAAGAGGATATACCATAGTTGTAACTGGACTTAATGCTCTCATTTGTCTCAGATCATAGGCCATTAAAAATCGATCAACGGTAAGTCCCTGACGACTAAATACAATCCATAAATATTTATAACATATGTGTGTCAAGTATATAAGAGGGTTAAAAATTTTTTTATTATCTTATGCCTCACCTGTTGCTGAATCCACATGTAACAAGATAATTTCCTTGAACATCGAAATCACTTAAGGAACCACTGTGTGTATCCAAAGTATGTTCTATTGATAATGTATTTGGATCCCTGAGATCTATTCTTCCCACAGGATTTCCAGCGCATATAAGCCTACTATGTTGTCTCAATATCGCACAACCATTCTCATCTACATCCACCTACAAATATAACATAGGCCCAATTTTTCATTATCTGGTTAACTTGTGATTGAGTTTAACCTGATGTTTCATCCAATGGGGATGACCTTTACCCACGACATCATCATAGATGAAGCCCATTGGATAAAACATCAGGTTAAGCCTAACCACAAGTAAATCAGAAAATGAAAATTCGGGCCATAAAGCCATCGCATTTCGTACTCGGAATTAATTTAACATTTAATTGATAGATTCTTACTAATCCAGTCTCTTTTCCTCTAGCAAGGTTAAAATCAATTATTTTATCCTGATGTCCACCCATGAGTAATCTGGCTGGGGAAATTTGTAACATACATTGCATGTCGTTCATATTCACCGACCTATAACAATCTAGGTTTGCCCAAATCCGTGGATAATAATGCTAGTACAAAATATGAACATACGTATGAGTAAATATAGGTATGCCTCTCCGCAATTGGCATCTCAATTGACTTTGAGACAACACTAAAATACCCTCATCTATAGTATGAATTTGTCGTATCTCTTGCGTTGCATGGACTTGAAAAGAGGTATATTTCTGTAAACCAGGCCCATAGTAGGATGTTACGTGACCCTACAACAAATTGTTGTTATTAAATTACAGTAGATATTGATATAATAAATAAGAAATTTGATGTAAATAGTATCAATAACATACCCCTTGATTCCCCATCCACATAAGTTCTTCGATCGTATCGAAAGTGGCAGTGGAAACTCCAAATCTATCCCCGCCATCGGCGAGCAATGTTCTAGTTTCGTGAAACTCTGCCCCAGAAAAGTCCTCTCCAAACTGCTCCGTCGCACGTACATATTCACCTCCGGATACGACATAATTACAATCGTCCCCTGAAATGAGAATCGATCAGTCAAGACTCAAGTATATATACCTTTCTTTTACACACATAATCTCAAAAGTAGAAAGATATATTCCTTTCTTACTAATTCAAACACTTTAGCAAAATTTTCTTTTTATTTGCAATTTATTTGACATAAATAATTAAATATAAACAAAATATAAAATAATAATTTACGTTTTCGTAAATTACATCTTTATCGAAATGCGATGAAGTTATATCTGTACAGTCTACTTCTAAATATAAGCCGCGCAACTGATAAAGATAAAATACAAAACACACATATGCTCTTTAAGAGTACATAACTTATTTTACATTGCTGGATATAGACTACAAATATCCAAAACAATTTTTTTTACGTAAGCAGATGTTATATCTACTTATTTGCTACAACAATGACGTACTAAAAAAAATAAAGAAAATTTTCCAGAAAATGAGTTTGAATGTTTTAAATCAGTAAAATTTTGTAACATTAATGTAAAAGAGCAATTTTAGTATAATAATTAATTGTAGAAAAATAAAATTTTTTTTTCTTTTTTCCCTTATGTTTTTATTCTTTTTCTGCAAGATAATTTCTACAAAATAACTATTTTTTAATCATGTTATAATATTATAGCAGATGAGCAACCTATTATATGTACAAGACAGAAATCAAGTATAACAATCGATTTTCCAGAAGAAAACAGTTTGGCCGTTACTGCTTCAAGGAATTTTCGTGATCACTGTATTAAGCTTGGAGATAACAAAGGACGATCTTGGCCGCGCTCGTGAGTGTTGGAGAAACAGCTGATGCCAGCTGATATTCTACAATCGGCCGGATCGGTGATGCTTCGCGTGTAAACGTTCGAAAGCAAACGAACGTTGTGGAAAGTAGAAACAGACGCGATACGAGAAACTGATGAAGGTAAAAAAAAAAAAAAAAAAAAAAATAGCGCAGGTAGAGCGATACATGCGACAGAGAAATTCCGGTGCTCTTCCACCGAAAGCGGTTCTCCCGCGCTTCTTGGTCGCGTGAAAGAAGCGCGCGTGACGCGACAAAGGGCACTTACAGAGCAGATCTTGTTCCTCCTCGCAGTTGACGTGGTCCGTAGGTTCTACCGAGGGATCAAAGAGATCCAACACTGGATAGTCCATGATGCGCGCGGTGGCTTTCTTCAGACCACTTCAGACTACGTCGTTGCGTCGCATCGGAGCTTTGTGAAGTTGATACGAGAACTGCGTCCTAATAATGATCGGTCTCTTATCATAATACACCGCAGGTACGCGGCGCGCAGTCACTCACACACACACGCACGCACGCACGCACGCACGGCGGAACAGACGGACAAACGCACCAATACGCACGTTAGTCGTCTTGGCAACTGTGCAACAAGCGAAACACTTTGTGCGTTACTATGCTATCGCGAGCCGCTGGACTGAAAAACTCAACGATAGACAAGCGCATCGTAACGCGTTTTTCTTTACTGTGTTGTTTCTTTGAACGCAATGCGTTCACCGGGAAAACTGCGCTTTTCGCCGTTTGTTGAGATGCGATTTAATTCATGATCGCATGTTCACGGTGTTCAGACTTTGCGAGGAGATACAGAAAACAGATAGAAACCTGAGCACAGTAAGCCCTGAGCACTGAGCCAGAACGGAGTGAGTAGCTCTGAGAGTGATCGTGCCGGCCTTTATCCGCCTTTTATCCTGTAACCAACGGCAAAATACCGCCGTGCATTAGCGCCAACTGAGAAAATGGATATCAACTGCATAGCAACATCCACTTTCCTACACTGCAGGTACACAATTTGTAATACGTAACGTCACCGATAAGAATAATATTTTTTTCGTGGTTGGCAATGTTCATTAAAATGTCTAAGCAATAGCGTTATATTTAGTCTTCTCCATTATGTCTTTTTGATGGGAATACTATTAAATATAAAATGACGCTTTATTTTTATTCTTTTCTTATTCAAATTATTTCGATGTTGTTATTTTTATAATGCAATTATATTTTTATTACGCAATTATATTCAAATTATACAAATTATAAGAGTTATTTGAGCAATTATATATTTTATAATCTGTGGATATAGTATGGAATAAAACCAATTAATGTACGCAATGCGAATAAAATCAAAGACTGTATTACCTACCGGATAAATAGCTGTGCTTACATGGTTCCTCTATGTGCACACAGAGGCGCCAGTAGATGAGTTCTCTATTCGCGTTGCTTGCACTTTTTGCACTCGGCATCTTCGCTTTCTGTCTTTTCAAGGCCAAATACATATCTATCTTATTTTAAGTGCGAAAATATTTGGAGGTTTTATGCGAACAGACCTATATTTTTTTTACAAGAGGTCTATTCACGTTGTTCGAGAAATTTCTCAAAATTTTGTATCCAAGGTGAGATAAATAGATATTCGAGCGTTGAAGATAAAGAAAGCGAAAATGCCGAGTGCAAAAAGTGCAAGCAACGCGACAAACCTAATGTTTACGTTGGCGGGAAGCGATGGCGTCAATGACGCGTAAATTTGAAGATTACTTCTTTGCAAACATTAGTTCGATATTTCTTTCGTGTACGCACTCTAATATTCTAATTATTCTTATCTAATTATTCCTTATCTAATTATTCTTATCATAAACCATTTGAAACTGGACTAAAGTAGTGTCAGGAATACATTTAATAAAAAGTGGAAGAGCTTGTGTTGATAACGCCAAATTGTTTACATCATAGGTGAATGGACACGCGGAAATGCTCACTTTGCAGTTTGGACAATGCGGGAATCAACTCGGATGTGATCTATTCTCGAAAGTGTCCTCCGATATAGGAAGTTCGAGCACTGGCGTTTCTTATGGTGCGAATTACGAGTATGCGGAAAATACAATCGAGAAATGGTTCGACGGTATCGCAGAGTGCGGTCGACACTTTGCAAAGGCAATTCTCGTCGATACCGAAGAGAAGGTCGTGAATAAGGTATGCAAGAACGTAAACGCGTCGTGGCTCTATCGAACGAGTAATGTCGTTTGTCAGTCTGGTGGTGGTTCCGCCAACAACTGGGCTTATGGCTATACGATTAATAGTCGACGCTTGTCAAACACCGTACTGAATGTTACGCGACAGGAGATTGAGAAATTAGATCGATCGCAGGGATTTCTTCTGCTTCTTAGTTCAGCTGGTGGTACAGGATCCGGTATAGGAAGTCACATGGTTGAGCTTCTACGAGAGGAGTATGAAACTGAGCCTATTATTGCAACGATTGTATTACCATTCACCTTCGGAGAAGTTTGCACTCAAAATTATAATACTATACTGACTCTAGCCAAGTTCTCAGATAGAGTAGATTTTTCCATGTTATTCGAGAATGAACAGATGCATTCTATGTGTACCAATTTATTGAAGAATGCTAATACCACATTGCATGACATGAATAGCATCATTTCTGAGAATCTACTTGCTGTTTTTCAACCTAGCAACAATGTAAGATGTAACACAAATTTTTTAATATCCAAAATAGCTACTCATCCCAATTTTAGATTTGTAACAGTCAAGAGTACTCCACATACTCCTGCAGCATCTCTGCAGTATGAACCTACACACAAATGGGAAGTATATATACGTCATTTGAAGGAGACTCTTCGAGTATCAAAGTCACAAGTGGAATTAACTAATGCCCAACTAAAGATACCAAACCCTATGCTAAGCAAAACAATAATGTCTCACATATATAGTCCTTGTGTGTCTAATGTTCTTGTAACGCGTGGCAGATCTGTGGAAAATGATGTTATTGCATTGGAAGATTTGCAGAAAAAACATCTATACCCAGAGTGGATTACTTTGAATTCCTTTACTCATTTGCATCAAGAACGTAGGTTTCTGAACCGAGATAAATTTCTGGCGTTGGTTAGCAATAATTCCGAAATACATCGTCCATTGGACATGTATCTAAACAAAGCATGGGACTCTTACAAATGTGCAGCTTTCTTGCATCAATATAAACAATTTGGTTTGGAGGAAGATGATTTCTTGCAAGCTTTTGCAAAAGTAGAAAACGTAGTGCAGGAATATAAAAACCTAAAAAGGCACAATGGAAATTGAATTTTCTTAGACTGATATTCACAGTCTTTTCTTATTTCAAGACCGTCTTAAGTAATGTCTTAAGACGCTAATGCGGCCGTCTGATTGGTTTATAACACTTCAAGACTGAACTTAACGGTCTTGAATATAAGATCTGACTATGAATACCGGCCTTTGATTGATTTATGATATCTGAAGATTGTACTTAAAACAGTCTTAAATATAAAAAACGAATATGGATACCGGCCTTATAATTTAATATTCGAAAAAATTTTTTTTTTATTTGTAACTGACATGTACCCATATATTTAAGAAATAGAAAAATGAATTCTCTCTCTCTCTCTTTCTTTCTCAAAATTAATTTCATATTTATAAAAAAACTTATTGTAATTTTATAGAATAAATAAATTTTAAAATTCTAATTACAATACAATTATTTGAAAATGTGATGCAGTATCATACAATAACTTATAAAAAGTTATATATTATTGTGTGTATATATACCATATATATATTTAAAATAAAGATTATTTCAATAAAAATATATTAAGTAACTAAATATATCAATAGGTTTATGTACAAATTTTAATATTGACTAATAATACCTGATTATATTTATTTATATCAGCTTGAAAATATGCGGAAATTCATTATTCCAAAACCTCAGATTTTTGTTACTTGCTCTTAATATTTTTCTTGGATATAAATTTATTTCCGAATTCTTTCTTTTTTGTCTCTCCTACACTTTTTCGAAGTAGTGCGTAGGCGCTTACGCGAGACCTTGAATGTCACGGTCACGGTTACTACGAGATGAAGAGGGATGGACGAGTGGTTGTGACGTCATTTGGGAATCGACCAGGTTGCGGCTACAGACACAATGACGAAAGAAACTTTCGAGGAGGAAGTAGTATAGAGAAAGAAGTATTATAAGTGGGAGAGCGGGCGTCGATAGACGAATAAAAGACTGATTACTGGAGAAAAGCGAGATGAGAAGAAGTTTGTTCTGCCTGCAGAATGCGACATGCTGCATGACGTGTGTCTTCCTCATAATATGTATCCATTTCTTTATCACATTCGTCACTGTTAAACTTATAATATCAAATTATACCTAATTTGAGTTATTTTTAACCATTTCTTTAGGTCGCTACTACTCCTACCTAATATATCATTAATTTAACTAAAACAATGGAGTTAATAATAAGAGTTAACAATTGAACTCAAGAAAATATATTGAATTTGATTCAAATTTAATTTATTTACTGAACATACACATTAATGCAGACGATGTTTACTTTAAAACTATAAACCACAGAAAAATGGATCGATTTACATTTTGACATGTAATATATGGAAGTTAAAACAAAACGTTATTTAATTGAAGTGATTGCATTATCATTGCTTGTTTGATATCTGACAGTGTTTTAGAACGTGTGTTACAATAAATATTTATCTTATATGTATATACAATTGTGCGTGCGTGCGTGCATGTGTGTGTACACATACATATTAAAGATGTACCTATTAGATGTTTTCTGCGCAACGTGCGCGCGCCTTTCGATGATGGACGCAAAATGAGAAGACCGCGACCACCCCGTTTCCTGGAAACGAGAAAAACGTTTCTAGGAACTCTTACTTGTCACCCCGTTACCCTCCTCCGCACCAACTCGGAAACGATCCAAGGAATGATGTGACGGAATCTCGGCGACGAATGAGCTAGGATTCAATCTCATCCCAAAATATATTCACATGTTTTTGTCCTGCGTAGCGGACGTATGAATTACATTCATAATCTGGAAAAATTCTCACACACACACACACACACACAGTTGAGACTATATTATTTTCTTTATATTATCGCAGTGAAATCATAGAATAAAGAAGTTTTTCTTAATGTGATATTTCGGATAAAGAGAGAGAGAGAGAGAGAGAGAGAGAGAGAGAGAGTAAATTTTTTAATTCTCTCAATCGCTAATATATAATCCAATTAATTGAATATAATTAAAAATATTTATGCGTTTACGGAAAAGCATGATGTAGCAATATTAATAGCATAATTAACAGTTTAATTGAAAATAATCTTGTTAATTCAATAATAATAATGAAACATACATCATATGCTCTTATTCTAATAAAGTGTTATCTCTAAAACTCTTAGAATGAATCTCACTCTTAAAAATTGAAAATTGAGCCATCTTTTTCAAGACTGATTCAATTTTCACTTTTTAGTCCGGATCTACAATAGGTGTTTTAAGCTTTAAGCCATAAGAAATTGACCAATTACAGTCGAATGCGAGGAAAATAATTGATTGTGATTCGTTCATTCCTTATGGCTTAAGGCTTAAAAATCTATCGTAGATCCGGACTTAAAGTTTAGAGTTATTTGTTTTATCAATATTGTTATTGAATTAAGATTATTTTCAATTAAACTGCTATTATTTTTAATATATCTTTTTTTCTATGTAGACATGTTCGCATAAAAATTAAACTTTGAGGTTGCCTTTTGATGTTATGACTTAATTTTTTATTCTTAAGATTCGCAAGATACATTTTGTTTCTATAAATTTATTATTGTATTTCGATACGCTTTTATAGTATAAAAGTATATTTCAGCGTATTTCAGAAAATAACGTTTCAAGAACGAGATAATAGATACTAAATCGTTTTCACGTTTCATTCACATTTTTCACATAGTTATTATACAATTTTGGATTCGTTTTCTTGCAAGTTCTCTGCAACCATACACTCAGAGGAAGGTTTCTTCGATAAAAAAAAATATTTCTTTTTGCTATACGGTAAAAGAAAACAATTTTTTTTATTTAAACATTTTTTTATCAAATAAATTCTTCGATTTAAAAAAGTTATGTTTAAATAAAACATTTCTTTGAATTGAAAGAACCTTTCTCTGAGTGAATGCTCAGATGCTGAATGACAGAGATAGATATATAGGATACCCGATACCGGTTTACCCGGATGACTATAGAAAGGTGAGAAAAACGGTATTATTTTCGATGCGAAATATTTGAAAAACATCTCTCGCTTCCGGGCTAGGTTGCCACGCGAGAGAGTAATTCTCGTAGCCGGTATCGGTATCGACGCGACTTGAATACCGAAGAGGCGTGGTTTCGGCCGACGGGAACCTGTTCATTCTCCGCCACTGCCGCCGTTCTCTGTCTGTGGTTCTCTGCACCTTCACGCGTCGCAGTGTGACGTCGTCAGCGAGCGGTTGCTCTCGCCCCGCACCGATCTCTCCTCCTGTCTAGCAGACGCCCGTACCCGTACCCGTACCCTCCGTTCCGTCCTCGTCGACCCCGTCGACCGGGCGCGCTCCAGCGCGCTCTAGCGTCGGAGTTGCGGGACAATGACGCGCGCCATTTTGTCCAGTGTCCGTCGAACGCGTCGCGCGTCGGGGTGTCGTCGTCGCGGGGTTGTAAACTGCGTGAGTGGAGTAAATCGAAGCGGAGCGGCGCGATACACACGCGCGCGCTACTGCGCGCGTGCGAGCGAGCGAGCGAGAGAACTCGGACACTTTCGAGAGATCTGTGTAATATGTATTGCGTATTTGTGACGACGACGGAGACTTCCCGCACTGCGAGGAAGAATCGAGTCTCGTATCGCGCTCGCGGTGAGTCGCTACAACGGTGGATGTAGCGTCGTGACGACGCTCGGAAGAAAAAAAGAAAAGAGGGACAGAGGTGCGACGATCAAGAGCGTGAATGGCGACGATAGCTCTGACGGTTCTGTCGCGAATAACAGCAGCAAGCGTTCCCGTTGTCGCGACGACGGAGAGCGAAGGGTAGCAAGCCGCGCCGCTCTGATCGATAAAACACGCGCGCGTCTCTCTTCCCGTTTCCTCTCCCGCGTAGGAGGAACGAGCGCGCGCTCATCCCCCATTTCCCGTGAGGAGAGCTTTCGCATCGTCCGTATGGCGATTGGCGAACGACGGCGAGGACGGACTCGCTCGGTCGCTCGCGCTTGTGCAAATTGAGAAAAGTGAAAGCTCACTCGCGGCCGCGATGCCCGCGATCAAGGCGATCGCCGTGAAGGACCGTCCGTTTTCTGATTACACTGTTAAAGTTATACCTAATGTGAAATTATTTCCAATTTGAGTTATTTTTAATCGTATGTATGTATAGGTCTCCACTGCTTCTACCCAATATGTCGTTAATCCGACAAGACAATGGGATTAAATGGATTAAACCTTTAAACAATTTGGTTCAAAGTTTGTTATTTATTAAGTACATTTAGTGTGCAAGTTTGTTTGTTATTTTCTAAGTGCATACGTTAATATAGACGATGCTTACTTTGAAACTCTATAGAAATGGATTGATTTACATTTAGACACTGATAGGAATTAAAAATAACAATGTTATTCGAGGGATTAGATTACCATCGCTCCTTTGATATTTAAGTACTTTTCGCAATTTGCCACTTCCGGGACAACGTAGACGTAATGTTTACTCTTCCGGGATCCAAGACGAGGAGGAGAATGGAGATGCGTAAGGAAATCCCGAACTGGGTCACGTGTTGATATTAACAAATTTTATGAAATTTATCGCATCTTCATTCACACAGCATCACGGTTTTTTCGCGCGTCACGTCGGTTTCTGGCGATTTTCAGATTATGTTCCAAAAATTCAGAAAAGTTAATCATTTTAAATTTATACGAAATCTTTATTGTAAACATGAGTTTTTTTAAAGAAAGAATGATATTTATTTCATGTGGGAGTTAAAGGTCAGAGTGCATAAGCGTAACGCGGAAGCGCCTCGGTCGCAAATATTCTGCCAAATAATATGACTTATCTTCGAGCGTTCTATTTGCGAATTTGTTTGGATGCAAAATGTATGCTTTTGCGTCAATTTGTATGCGATGACCTTTGATGCGCACTGTGCGTGCAACCGATTCGCTGAAGATGCACGGAGTGCAATTAAAACGGACTTATCGCGATGCAAAAGGACGCGTCATTCTCGACGAAAAGGGATAAAGATTAGACCGAATAAATTAGGTTTCCGCGAAAAAGAGAAATATATTTAAAAAGAATATACAGT